CACCAAATTGGGGCTTAGTATGTGTTTGGTAGGGATTTTTTGAGGGAAGAATTAATTTTGAATAGTGATATGATGGGAAATGTGTGGTTGAAAAAGAAGAAAAAATTATTGATGTGATGGAAAATATTAGTTTATTGAAGAATGTGTGGTTGAAAATGAAAATTGATTTACTGTAGAAAATTAGAGATTTTTTGGGGGGAAATTGATTTTTGAATAGTAATATGATGAGAAATGTGTGGTTGAAAAAGAAGAAAAAATTATTGATGTGATGAAAAATATTATTTTATTGAAAAATGTGTGATTGAAAATGAGAATTAATTTACTGTTGAAAATGAGAATTGATACCAAACATAGCCTTAGTAAGTTTAGATCAAGTACCTAAGCAATTAGTTCTTGTTTCACCCTATTCTCTATGATCCATTTTTTTTCTTAAATTCATTTCCAATCACATTTTATAGGATTCATTACTTTTAGGCACCTTTTAATCGTATATTTATTAACTTTTTTCAAGATCTACTAAAAAAATTATTTTTAGCTAAACTATATCACATTACTTTTTTATGTATAGTACAACTACATAATAATATACGAGATTCAACTCATGTTTGGAAGTTGTTGAAAATTAGATTTTTTTTATTTTGATAAAAGTTAATAAAATTCGTGATTGAAAAATTGATAAAAATTACGAGACACGTGATATACGCAATTGCAATTGAAAATGAGTTTGAGAAAAAAAATTAAAAAGGGCGTCTGATTTGCTTTCAAATGAGCTCAAAAGACAGAACCTCTAATGCATGAGTATATATGGTATGTAGTCGTGCGAAGGAAATGGAGAAGCGGGACAGAGTACGAAGAGAAGTGAAATGAAATTACTGAGTACTAGAAGAGAGAACTTGTCCCGAAATGACAAAACTTACTTCTACAAGAAAAAGTAAAAAAGAAAGACCGGAATTTATTTAATGTAGTTGATATTTATCACGATTAATAACCTTTTACGGAACATGTTTTTTAAACAACTATAATTTACACAAATAAAAACGTGGACAAATGTATTAAAGGTCACAAATTAAATTAATACGGCCTCTTAGTTGACTAGTGAAATGATATGCTAGATTTTGTGGCTTTAGTTGCGTACTCCCCTATGTTAGCTGTGTAAATTGGATAAATCTGTTTGTACACCAGGTGTACGTACACCTGTCTCACATGAATAGTGTGCGTAAATATTTTATTGTGTGTGGGACCCTCCTCCATGTGAGGGGAGTGTAAAAGATTGTGTGAATGATTATGTACATGTAGCATGATTGTGTAAATTTCATTTATGACCTCTAACACATTTGCCTAACCAAAAAATGGTTGAAAAAAAAAATGAATAGTGAAAATAAATTCTAAATTGGAAGGATGATCTTTCTCTTTCCACATAATAGTAAAGATTGTAAGGTTCAAAGAAATTGGAGGAATTTGAAATTTGAAAATTAAAGTTCACATAATTTTACCCTAATTATCGGGATTTTTGAAATTATAAAAATGAAATATTAATAATAATTTAAATTAGTTATTTTATATATTAAATACCTTATTTGTGAAAAATTACTTGTATGGCCATACTGTGTGAATGGAGTGGTTTGATCTAACTTTCTTATTATGATTGGCCAAGTTGGAAACGATATCATGTTAATAGTAAGGCCCAGCCAGAAAAATTAGTTCTCTGGGCAAGTGAGACCCAATAATAAAATTTTCGGGCCAGTTGATTGTGGTGAGCATAATTGGGCCACAGTACTTTGATCCACTACACATAACCTGCAGGGCAAATTAGGCCCAATAATCTAAAAAATTAAGGAAAAAATTCATAACTCAGGCTTTATTTATCCCAAAATCAAAAATCAGGTTTTTCATGAATTAATTAATTATATTTCACAATTATTAAATTAAATTAAATATTTAATTGTAATATAATTTAATTAACCCACCCCACCCCACCCCACCCCACCCCACCCCATTGCTCCGGCGACTACTCCAGTGATCGGCAATTACTCCGGTGACTGATCTTTAACCACGCTTAATTCAGACGACTACTCCGGTAATCGATCTACCGTATCTTAATTTCGACGACTGCTCCGATTTCGACAATTGTTAAGGTCACAGATATATGCAATTTAGTCACAGATAAATTTATGTTTCAGTCAAAACTTATCAAGGCCCCGTTCGGGAGGACTTAAAATCCAATTAAAATTGAAAATATAGTCGTTATTGGGTCTCACTCGTCTAATAAAATTATAAAAGTCAACAATAACAGCTAATTTTTCAATTTTAATCCGATTTTAATCTCTACCGAACNTCCCTCCCAAACAAGCTCCAAATTAATTGGTCATGGATTATTTCGAAACCACAGATTCAAAAATTTATAGGTCACAATTGACTCAATTGGTTACTGATAAAAAAATTATAGGTCACAAATTTTTAATTGATCACAAGTTAAAAAAATTATAGGTCATAGAGATGACATATTTTCGAATTTGATGGTCACAGATTATATTTTGGGTAACAAATTAACGAATTTTAAGATCATAGACCACACAGTCAGTCACATACACCCAAACACCAGTCCCCAAATCTCAGTACACCACCAACACTTGGTCACGGATTGACCAAAGAGTTGGTCACGAACTCCAATCCTGGTACACCACCAACACTTGGTCACAAATCAACGAAGTAGTTGGTCAGACACTCTTCGTCCCATCCGCCCGCCGCCACCAATTTTACTGTGGTCTTAACAATAGATTTTAGATCTTTCTCTGCATTTTTTACAAATAAGTTGATGAAAGTTATCTATTCTATGGGAAAATGGAGAGGAGTGAGATGACGTATATGAAAGAGCTTATTCAGAGGATGTATCTATTTGCAAACTCAAGTTTAAAATGTTTTAATTTTAAAATTTCCACTGACCCTATGCAAAGAGAATGGCGAAGAAGAAAGAAAATTTTTATTACTAGGAGTCATGTTCTTCAAAAACTTGCACTTCTGGTTTGGTTCATAGGAAATTTGACTTAATGGTTGCAATTCAAAATTAAACATCTACTCGCAGGTTGAAAGAGTGATCTTAAGATTGGCTACCAAAAGATACTTCCAGAATGGAATATCTACCAAAGGATTTCTCTGGAATGGACCGCGGGAAACTCACACTGAATTTCAGACATTGAGATGCATTACCTCCAAATTAAATTCACTGCAATTGGAGTTTACTTGGATCCTGAAATTGTGGCCCACTTACAGCAATGGAAGGGTAAAATTGGAACTGATCTAGCAGAGGATGATGACTGCTTTGAGGCTTCGCAGCAAAAGGAGTGAGGGAGGGAGAAGGGAGGATGAGGAGGCGGCGGGCAGCGGCAGTGGTGGTGGAGAGATGTGGCAGTGGAGGCGGCAGACATGGTGGGAGGAGAGAAATGAATTAGATAGGTTAGGGTTTGGATAGATTTAGCCCATGTTTGACACCCATTTTAGTTGAAAAATGATTTTTGGAATAGTGATTGATGGAAGATTTTGTGGTTAAAAAGTAAGGAGAATTTTTAGATTTATGTGTAATATTATTTTATTGATAGAATGTGTGGTTGAAATGAAGAAAGAGAAAAAAATGAGAAATAGAATGAGAAAAAAATGGGTTTCAAACAGGGGCTTAGGTTTTATATTTGGTGGGGGTAGGGTGGGTATATAGGTTATTTTAATTTTATAATATCATTATCAATTAAAAATGATAAAACCTGATTTTTGATTAAATAAAGTTAAAACCTGATTTTCATAAACTTGAAACTAAACAGCTGATTTTTGGTAATTATCCCAAAAATTAACTAATTTGATTCACCCTATTAACTAATTAAAACATTTAATAACGTAATAAATACGTTAAAAAACCTTCGAACCCTGAATACACACACTGAGAAATATATAGCCAATTCATGGCTATAAATTAGAGAGAAAATTCAAATGGACATTAAACAATGCAAATGGTAAAAAGGTAAGCTTTTATTTAGCAAATATATTCAGTTTTCACACGTTGTTTCGGATGTTGATGGTTTGGGTTGGTTTTCATTTGACTTTATTTGTATCTGTTGGAGGATTTATTCATAATATGGTTTGATTAAATGGAAGTTACGAGTCCAATTCAGAGGGTAGAGCTCTTTCATAGTACAACTGCATTAGAAAACTTTCTTCGAATTGTAGAATGAGCAGTGTATAATTTCTATAGTTTTCAATTTTCTTTCTTCCCCCACCCTTGCTTAAACTTTCTTGATTTGAAATTTGCAGATCTCTGGGCTTCATAGTTTATTTGATGCGGACGATGATGAAAGAATCAGCAAATATGAGTTCCTCTCTCGTTTAAAAAGACATCCACTGCTTTTAACACATTTTTACCCTGGTTATAACACAAAGGTTTATCCATAGATGATCATAGATAGGTTAGTAGAGGAGGAGGTGTAGTGGATGAATGATGGGTAATGCTTTAAAGTTTTTGTTTTTTTGTGAATGAATGTGGAGTGTATATCTAAGTCATTTGAAATGTACCATTGTACAGTCGTTGAAATTTCGTGATTTTTCTTTCAAATTCGGTATCCTACAAGATAAAAGAATGTTGATTGTATTGAAGTATTAACATTGTATTGATATTGTATTTCATTTTTAAAAAAAGTGATATAGTGTAATTTTTTTAAATAAAAAAGTGACAATGTCACTTAATTTTATACAAGATTTTTTTACTTTTTATTTTTATTTTCTATCACTTTTTTGAAATTTCTGTAATTATTTTTGAGTGACAAACATTAATTTTTAATAAAAGTGACACTTAACTTTTAAAAAATGACATTGAGTGACACTTAATTTTACACAGTATTTTTTACTTTCAAAATACTTTTTATATGATTTCTTAAAAATTCTTTAATTTTAGGAGCATATTGGTAAGTTGCCTTGACCAGGTCTAATCATTGAAGCTCATGAGCCCAACGGTCCATTTAAGGTGAACACAGCTGACAAGATTTGGCGATTTGCAATCGGAATTTCTCCATGGCATAAAAGGTGACAACAAGATTTGATCTCATGGTACCTTGATAAATAAACTCCATGTCACTCAAACGTGAAACAAGAAATTCAAGTAAAAACTTTAAAAACATTATTTTTGAAATTAATCAAATTATGAAGAAATAAACTCACAAAATTTTATTATTGTAAAATGATCAAAATGATGAATTAATATTTTATTCATAAGAGTTTACATGAAAAGTTAATTTAAACAAACTAAAATTGAAAAAAAATCGAAATAAACTAAACGATAAAAATAACACTAAGCCCCTGTTTGACACACATTTTCTTAAAATGCATTATTTCAAAATGCATTTTCAACCACATTTTTCAATAAAATAATATTTTTCATTGTATCAATAATTTTTTCTTATTTTTTAACCATATATTTCTCATCATATCACTATTTGGAATACATTCTTTTCTTAATAATATCCATCAAACACACCCTAAAACTTAAAATGTAGTTTCGACTTCTAAACGAACTTGAATGGCTAAAATTTATCATATATCACAGCAAAGTTGTGAATTCTACTCTTCTCGTCGTTCTCTTTCCGCAATAATATTATGGGCATAAATCGGAGCTTCCCTTTTCGATAAAATTTTTCTCAGACATTTGTTCTATATCAACATGTTTACAAACTATTCACTAAAAATTAATGATCATGCCTAAATAAATCCATTGTTGGAAATTAATTTTTTTTTAATGAAATAACTTACTTACCAATGGAGTCAGTGATAAATAGGGCAATGGAGCATCGACCAGTTGCATTCCCGAATAAAGTTTGGCCGCAAGGAAACCTTGCACAGATAGAAGATCCAACACACTTTCACGAAGTAGATTTCCAGTTTCCGTTATTGAATTGCCAAACTGATATATTTCATCAAAATAGAAGAATTTGGGACTCTCCTGTGAAGAAGAAAGAACAAACTAAGAATAAGAATAAGAAAATCAAACAAACCTGTATTTGATGTTAATTTATTCAAAGATAACTTCCATTTATTTAAGTATGAGAATTTTTCTGGATAAAATTAATGATCAAGTGTTTCTGTAACTTGAACTGGATACAGATGAATTTTGTCTGACCATGCATTAATTTCATCATGTTTAACCTCAGAGATACACTTCCAAACTGCACTGTTACACTTGAAACCACTCCCAAAAGCCAACTGCCAAACTCTTATCTCCCCTTTCGATTCTTCCCTTGGCTTCTAAATAGGCTAGTGAATACCATGTCGATGAAGACGACGTGTTGCCAAACCTATATAATGTCATTTCCGATGCTTCAATGTCCCTTTCTGCAACTTCAACTTATCCTTAATGTTGGGAGTAAAAGAAGTTTCACATCGACTAGACATGAGAAATATGATGGGTTTATAAGGATTGAAAAATATTTTCATTGGTATGAAGCCTTTAGGGGTAAAACCCAAAAGCAAATCCATGAAGGCTTAGCCGAAAGTGGACAATATCATACTAATGTGGAGATATGTGGTGTCCATAGCCCAACACTTAATGCTCTCGATCACGGCCCTTCCTCCAGCATGAATACAGAAATGCTCGAACGCATTCTTGAAATTTGGTACATAAGCCTCCTTGTTTTTTGAAAGAGCGCAGCTTTTCTTCCAGACGACAGACGTGCCATACCAAATTTGCTCCGTATAGGGTAGCACCAAATGGCCTAATTAATGCCCTCAGATTTGTCTTCAGTGCATCCCCTGCTACCTGAAGGATTGTTCTTGAGATAGAGACTCCTATATTTCCATCATCGTCCATATCCTGTATAACGCACTTGTAAGCACCGGTTTTGGGTCCCAAGTGAGTCCTGACTAAGTGTATTTTGCTTTCCCTCTGTCGCATTTTTTGTTCGATAGTAAAATCCCGGCTCCACCCGTTCGAAACAAACAATTAGCAAGAAGCATTGACTTGACGTTTCCTTGATAAACATTCGCGCTCATGGACTCCATGCTGAGAATCAATGCTAAGGAATTCTTGTGAACTTTGAGTAGATCGCGAGCCAAGCTTATCGACAAAATTCCCGCACTACAACCATTTCCCGAGAGATTGAAACTCTTTACGTTGCTTCTAAGACCAAATTTATTTACAATGTGTAAAGCTAAAGAAGGAGTGGAACTGGTGAGGCTACAATTTGTGATTAATATATCTATGCTTCTCGGATTTATCTTGTGCTTTGCGATAAGATTTCGACTATTGAACTGTTTTAACTTCTTCAATCGTAGCATTCATAGAATGATCAGAAGGAAGCAAATGAATTCCTGAACATGTTTCATTGCCAATTTCTTATCTTTTGGTGACTTTCCTTTGAAACTCGAGACCTGTTGTGTTATAACTGCCATTGAATTCAGTGTGTTCGATGAAAGTGGAGATGGGAACTCGGTCAATATCTGGACCATGAAAGCATATGAAGTCGAGAAAGTAAACTGTTGTGATTTTCCGATCACGAAAAAGGAGTTATAAGAGGAAAAACTATTCTATTTCTTACTTGAATAGAATTGTACATGAGAATTTACAAACTCAAATCAAAAACTTCTCAAACTCTCTCTAATCACTCTCTGTTTCTTTCCTCTCTTGGGCGTGTCTTTCAATTGAAGAAATGGGCTCTATTTATAGCCACCGGGAGGTAAAAGTGGGAAGAGATTTTCAACAATTCACAATAAATTGGTGGTTGGCTGTTGTAAGAATGGTGGTAGGCTGGTGAAGAAAATCCTTGCAAAATAACTAGCCAATAGAAAATGGTGGCTGGGAGGTTAACAATTGAGTCAACAAAAAGGGTAGCAGGAATAAGGCTGGACATTACAATTCTCCCCTTCCAGCCACATCTGAAGTGATTATTATTTGATAACCATCCCAGCTATGTCTCTGCACAGCTCTAACTTTTCTCTTGGAACCACCTTCATCATCATGTCTGCTGGATTCTCACTTGTGTGGATCTTTACTAGTCTCAATAGTTGTTGATCCATCACCTCTCGTATCCAATGATAGCGGATGTCAATGTGCTTTGTCCGAGAATGATACATTTAGTTCTTACTCAAATCCAGAGAACTTTGACTATCACAATGTACTTTATAATCTTTCTGCTTGATCCCTAAATTTTGAAGAAATCGCTGTAACCACAACATTTCTTTACCAGCTTCCGCTGCTGCAATATATTATGCTTCTGTTGTAGATAACGCAACACACTTCTGTAGTCTTGACTGCCATGACACAGCTCCCCCAGCAAAAGTGTAGAGAAATCCCGAAGTAGATTTTCTACTATCAAGATCTCCGGCCATATTTGAATCTGTATAACCTTCCAAGATTGGATCAGCTCCCCCGTAGCACAGATATGTCTTTGATGTACCCTTCAGGTACCTGAGAATCCACTTGACTGCCTCCCAATGTCCCTTTCCAGGATTAGAGAGAAAATGACTTACCATGCCCACTGCATGAGCAATATCTGGCCTGGTACATACCATTGCATACATCAGGCTTCCAACTGCTGAAGAATAAGGTACCAACGACATCTCCTCTATCTCTTTCTTGGATGAGGGGCATGACTTCTTGCTTAACTTGAAGTGATTGGCCAGTGGAATGCTGACAGGCTTGGCATCATGCATGTTGAATCTCTTGATCACTCGTTCAACATATCTTTCCTGAGATAGCCATAACCTCTTATTCTTCCTATCTCGAGTTATGTGCATTCCTAATATCTGTTGAGCTTGGCCTAAGTCCTTCATGTCGAAGGACTTAGAGAGTTCCTTCTTCAGCTGGCCGATTTTCATTGCATCTTGTCCAACGATCAATATGTCGTCTACATACAATAGAAGAGCAACGAAATTCCCATCCGAAAAATGTTGAATATAAACGCACGGATCTGCAGCTGTTCTTTTATAGCCTTGACTCACCATGAATGAGTCAAACTTTTTGTACCACTGCCTTGGTGCTTGCTTAAGACCATACAAGCTCTTCTTTAGCTTGCAAACGAAGTTCTCTTTTCCTGGAACTTCAAAACCTTCTGGCTGCTCCATATAAATTTCTTCACATAAATCACCATGAAGAAATGCTGTCTTGACATCCATCTGTTCAAGCTCTAGATTCAAACTGGCTACTAATCCGAGAATAACTCGAATTGACGCCATCTTTACAACAGGTGAAAAAATTTCGTCAAAGTCAATTCCCTTTTTCTGTAGGAATCCTTTGACTACCAAACGAGCTTTATGTTTCACCACATTTTCACTTCCGTCTTTCTTGAGCTTGAAAACCCATTTATTCCTCAATGCCTTCTTTCCCTTCGGAAGCTCGACCAACTCATATGTTTGATTCTTCTGCAATGACTCCATCTCATCATGCATTGCTTGTATCCATTTGTCTTTGTCTTCATGAGATTGTGCTTCCTCGAAGCTTTCTGGCTCTCCTTCATCAGTGAGTAGAATGTACTCAGACTCTGAATATTTCGTTGATGGAATCCGTCCTCGTTCAGATCTGCGCACTTGTGGATTACTGGTTTCAGGAGGTGCACCATCATCTGGTTGATGTGATGATCCGACGACTTCTGGTGGAGAGGGTTGTGACTCCCCCTGATCAATACCCTCTTCTTCATCCTCATGTTCTGCTTCTGGCATTTCCTCATTCACGTCATCATCATCTATGGTGAATTGCACTGGTACTGGATCTGGAGCAATATGCTGGGCACTGGATTTAGGATTAGGAGACATTGTGGGATTTTCAATGTCTTCTATTGTTTGGTTTTCATGGAACACCACGTCTCTGCTTCTGATGACCTTCTTTGTCTTTGGATCCCATAATCTGTATCCAAATTCTTCATCTCCATAGCCTATAAAGATGCATGGAGTAGTCCTTGCATCGAGCTTCTGTCTTAGCTCCTTAGATACATGTGCAAAGGCTAAACAACCGAATACTCTCAGGTGAGAGTATGAAGGATTCTTCCCAGACCATACTTTCTCCGGAATTTCAAAATTCAACGGTACTGATGGTGACCTGTTGATTAAGTAGCAGGCGACTCGCACAGCCTCTCCCCAGAATGGCTTTGGCAGCTTAACCATACTGAGCATGCTTCTGACCTTTTCCATGATTGTCCGATTCATTCTCTCTGCTACTCCATTATGTTGTGGAGTGCGTGGGACCGTCTTCTCATGTCGAATGCCGTGGCTTCCGCAATAGGCATCAAACTCTCTGGAAGTGTACTCGCCTCCATTGTCTGAACGGAGACACTTCAGCTTCTTTCCTGTTTCACGCTCCACCATGGCATGAAACAGTTTGAAGTAATCCAATACTTGGTCCTTCGTCTTCAAGAAGTACACCCATACTTTTCGAGAAGCATCATCAATGAATGTCAGAAAATACTTGTTACCACCTAGTGATTCAACCTCCAAGGGACCACAAACATCAGAGTCTACGAGACTGAGCAACTCTGATCGTCTTATCGAAGAGAAATTGAAAGAGACTCTATGTTGCTTACCAAATAGATAGTGATTGCAAGGATCTAGCGCAGCTTCCTTGGTAACAGTGATTAGCTCCTTCTCTGTCAAAGTAGACAACCCCTTCTCACTCATGTGACCGAGTCTCTGGTGCCACAAATTTTGAGAAGCCTCGCGTTCCACTATGTTGAGACTGTCTGCACACATTTTCACATGAGTGTTATATAAAGTGCCACAAATATGTCCTCGAGCGACAACCATAGCATATTTCTTCATTTTCCATGTGCCATTGCTAAAGTGATTATCATAGCCCTGTTTGTCAAAGGCTATCCCGGAAAGAAGATTGAGTTGAAGATCGGACACATGTCAGACATCCTTCAGGGTTACTTTGCACCCGGTATTTGTTTGTATCTGAACATCACCAATTCCCACGATCTCAGAGGAACTGGTATTTCCCATCTTCACTGCACCAAAGTCCCAGCTTTGTATGTTGTGAAGAAGTGTCTGCATGGAGTAGCGTGCTAAGATGCTGCAGTATCGACCACCCACTCAGCGTCTTGGCTTGAAACATGACGACATGTCTCCTCATGAATGGAGCAGATAACCACCTCTCCAGAAATAGTGACTAGTGTCTCTCCTTCCTTATTTTTCGACTGCGAACTGTTCTGGCCTTGTTAGCAATTTTCGACAGTTCTTCTTTAAGTGACCCTCCATACCACAATAGTAGCACTTATAAGTAGGCTTTCTTCCATCTGTGGATCTACCTCTACTTTTGCTTCTGCCTCTCCACCTGCCTCGAATGCCTCCTTGCTGTCTTCCTCGGTTCTTTATGACAAGGGCATGTGACTGATCCTTGTCGATGTCCTTTCTCCTGGCTTCTTCATTAAATAGGGCATCCTTGACCATAGACATGGTAAGTTTACCATTAGGGGCTGAGTTGCTAAGAGATACTACTAGCGTTTCCCAGCTGTCAGGAAGAGAACTCAGAAGTAGAAGAGCTTGCATTTCATCCCCGAGCGGCATCTCTACAGACGATAGTTGGTTCACCAAGCTCTGGAATTCACTGGTGTGTTCAGCAACTGAAGTTCCACCCTTTAACTTCAGATTCACCATACGCCTCATCAACAGGGCTTTGTTTCGAGCTGTCTTGGCTGGGTACATGTCCTCTAGAGTCTTCCAGAGATCATATGCGTCTGTCTCTTGTGCCACGTGGTGAAAGACACTATGATCAATCCATTGTCGAATTTGACCAATAGTTTTTCTATTCAGCTTCTTCCACTCAGTCTCCTTGGTAGGATCGGGGTTCACGCCTTTAGCTTCAAGGGGGTCATACAAATCCTTACAACTGAGAAGGTCTTCCATCCGAGGCCTCCACAGTGTGTCATTGGTGGCGGTGAGTTTGATCATGGCTCTTGATGATGATTCATCCATTGACATATTGACTTCGCAATGGCTTGATCGAAATTGGGTTTGAGTTTGGCAAAACAGAGTATATCGTTGCGTTCGGAACGATAGAAATTTGTGGATTTGACTGTTCCCCAGTCAAAAACCAACTCCTAGAAAAATTCAAAAATTAATGAGATATTTTGAAAGTTCTAGGACCAATCTGTAAATACCAAAACAAGGACCAATATGAAAAATATTTTTGGTTCTGATATCACTTCTTGTGATTCTCCGATCACGAAAAAGGAGTTATAAGAGGAAAAACTATTCTATTTCTTATTTGAATAGAATTGTACATGAAAATTTACAAGCTCAAATCAAAAACCTCTCAAACTCTCTCTAATCACTCTCTGTTTCTTTCCTCTCTTGTGTGTGTCTTTCAATTGAAGAAATTGGCTCTATTTATAGCCACCAGGAGGTGAAAGTGGGAAGAGATTTTCAACAATTCACAATAAATTGGTGGTTAGCTGGTGTAGAAAATCCTTGTAAATTAACTAGCCAATAGAAAATGGTGGCTAGGAGTTAACAATTGAGTCAACAAAAAGGGGCTGCAGGAATAAGGCTGGACATTACATAAACTTGGTTTGATTTCAATAAAATGTAGAGCATGAAAGCAAGAATGAGGCCTCGTTGCTGCTAAGTGACTAAATTGAGTGAAAAATATGATGATAACATCAGAAAGGCTAGTCTGATCAAATATTATGGTCTTCATACTTGTTCATCATAATTCACAAAATAAAGACGTGAATATATATATATATATATATAGAGAGAGAGAGAGAGAGAGAGAGAGAGAGATGATCTTTGAATCATGCAAAGGTCATGTTAGGATCAGTGCTTCATGTCATGTAAGATCGTGATCGATGTAGGAATGCACCAGCAAGCAAGAATCCCGGCACATCATCAGCCTCACGAAATGCACAATGGTACTATATGTTGCCTTACCAACAAACCGAGCTCTAGATGGAAGCCACAAGAAGGCGTTGTAGTAATCACCATAGATAATCGTGGTATTCGGATATTCAATCTTCAACTTCTCAACGGCTCGACTCAAACGATAATTATGATGCATTGGGAAGTTAATTATCTTTCAGGCAATAAAAATTTAACGTCATAAGCTCTAGTGAATCATAAGCAGATCGTTTGAGCATGGACCAGTTGTATTCTTCAAGAACGTTTCTCCATAAGGAAGCCTCGCAAACAGGGTAAAGAGATCCCAATTGGACTCGCACAAATTAGATTTCCGGTATTGGAAATTGAATCGCCAACTTGGTACGTTTTATCAAAATGGCAACCGTACAAGTTACCAAAATACGTGAATGAATACTAGAGCTCAGTTTGTACACATTCAGTCCTGCACTAGATAAAAAGAATAGAACGAATCCACAAGTAAATCATAACCATTCACGTTATAACAACATTGCAAACAATCTCATCGACTCACATGAACACCAAAATGATAGTTAAACTCCATTATATAGCATATGTCCCGTTTTCATCTCAAACGATAATAGGAAACATGTAAACCCTTTGATCCGAAAACAAAATTGAAACCGATGTCCAACACATGCAACACTAGGCAAAACTAAAATCCACTCAGGAAACATAAATAATGACTTCTCTTCCCCTACTCTTCTTCCTCAGCCTCATTCTCGGCAATGTTGAAGTACCTCAATTCATAAACATTTCTATCCTTGTTCGAAGCAATCACACGCAGCCAATCACGCACATTGTTCTTCTTCAGATACTTCTTCGTCAAATACTTCAAGTACCTGAGCACCACAACGCAAAGTGAGTATCAGAATAACAGACCAGTTAATTGCATCATTGAATAAGAAATAACAAACATATATATCAAATAGCATTGTCAAACCAAGTAAATTGCAAAAATAATCCCTTGTCAAAATAAAAACCACGGCAAACTTTAATTGCCTGTGAAATTCCTAATATTTACCTTCTGCTTGCACTTAAGCTTGTGTTATTGTCCCCCAAAAAATAAAAGCGAAAAGAAAACCAGTATCGTTCTTTGCATCAAAATACATTAAGCCCCTGTTTGGTTATGCTAAAAATTAGATTTTTAACATATTTTTATATAAGTTGACGAAATGTGTTGTTGAAAAGTTGATAAAGGTTATGCATTCCATGAATTGTGGAATTGAAAATGAGTTTGGGAAAAAATGGGTTTTTAGAAATGAGTGCCAAATATGGACTAAGCGAATCCACAATAATCCCTTAATGACATAAAAAAGTAGCTCCTTTGTTCATTAACCATTTTTCAGTTTCCTCTACCCATTTAAGGTCCAAGATCTAAATCTGAACTTCACCCAACAGATAAAAGTTTCTCTCTTGAAAGATTGAAAATGTTAACTAATATATATATGATGAAAAGTATAGCAAAATAAAAACTAGACAAGGCCACGTCTGCGCAATGCTTATAGATCCTTGTGGAACTATGAGTATTATCCTTCCCTCAAAAATCTTTGTTACTTAAAACAAACATTACCGAATCATTGTACATCTTAGGAGGCCTAATGTCAATTTCTTATGGGCATAACTAGCTGACTATTACTTTGGCACAATATTAATAACTTGATTCAAACACCATAGATTCCATACCCAATTCCAAAACCTCATTTTTCATATCCAGTTTACTTCATGCGTGATTAAAAATGAAAAAAAGCATTCAAAATAGCATAAAACTAATTCCTCCTAACGTGTAATTAACTGGTAACTCATTCAAATAATAACTGTTACCAAATCACTAACATTCGTGTAGCTCTAAAAAGCACAATCAACCAAAAGAGCAATGAAATTATAGTGTTACCGCTTGGAAAAGCTGGTCTCGTTAGCAACGACGGTAATCTTGCTCTTATCGCGGGTGACAGTAACGGAGTCACCGAGGGCACCGGGCTTTCCGCCGACCTTGATGCGTTCTTGGAGGAACTTTTCCAGTGAAGCAATGTCCATAATCTTATCCTCCACCGGCTTTGAGCAGTCAATCACGAACGTCGATGCCTTCTTCTTCCCTCCCTTCACAGCGCCGCCTGCTGCTCCTCCTTTACTCATTTTCTTCAGTTTTAATCAAATTCTTCCCGAGTAAAGTCTGAAATAATTTCAGAAAAATAACAAGTAGAGTAAGAATCACACATACACGAAGACAGAAATATATAGATGTGTATAATAGATGTACGTTTTACAAGTAATTCAAGCTGACCACAGGCAGATTCTTCTGCTTAGTGAGATAGAGCAGCCGCGAAATGGAGCAGACGAACACTTAGGGTTAAGGTTATAATAATAATCGTGAATTGGGCCTAGAGAAACCCTATCTGGTTCAGGCCGGTATTTTTGGAATACGTGAAAATAATGATACTCCCAAGAGTTTTAAATTATGGCTCGACATGGTTCGATTCGATTCGATTCTATTCGATTATGAAAAGAAACGAATCGAAATTTTCAGGTATAAATAAGTGGAATCGTCGGGTCCAAATTTAATTATTGAACCGTTCGGATTTGGTTCCATTCGATTCAGTTTGGTTCCATTCGGTTCCCCAAATTCCGTACAATAATTAATTTTTTTATATTTTCAATAACGTTACATTAATTCGACTGTAACATGTTCAATTTTAACTCTTACAAAATAACGTAGTCCAATCTAGTGATATTTTTTGCACATTTTTTTGTTAAGTTCTTCATAGATATGACTGTTAAAATCATAAAAAGAAGAAGATGACGAGTTCACAATAATAGAACGACAGAAACGATACTAGGTAGAATAAGAGATTTTGGTAAAATTTAGGTTAATTTGTGTCCATTTATTTGGGTGGTCATGGTGCACAGGGCAATGGTATTCAACGGTGGTGGAGATGGTGTAGATTGTGGTGCAAGTAATGGTGTTCGACGATGGTGGAGATGGTGGTGTAGGCGAGGCGTTCGGCAGTAATAGAAATGGTGTAAATGGTGGGTGCATGCGATTGTGTTCGCACTGTGGTAGAGATGGTGTAGATGGTGGTCGCAGCGATTTTAATGGTGGTGCGGTGGTTGTGGGTGGGTAATGGTAGTGGTGGTGGTGCTGCTAGCTACGGTGTTTGAGATGTGATTTTGCTGTTGGGAAGTGGTGGTTCTGACGGCGGTGGTCACAAATGATTTGATTGATTATAACCAATAAATTAGTTAATGTGTGATCAATGTAGGGATGTCAACGGTTCGGTTTGAAGTCGATTCGACCAAAATCATAACCGCACCATCAAATTTTTAGCAATATCATAATTGCACCATAACCACGTAAGTCGGTTCGGTTCGATTAATAACCACGAAAATAAATTATTTTTTCATAAGTCCAAACTCCAACCGTCAAATTGAAAAAAAAAATTATGAAAAAAAGTCAATAAAAATAAAAACACGATACTAAGCTATTTTAGCTAACAATATCCCAAATGAAAATGCAAACAATATCCCAACTTCCAAGTGCAAAATTCGAATTTAACAAACAATATTATCAATATAGATTAAGACTCTTACTAGTATATGTCAATCTTCATTCTTCCCCACAACTCCTCATTCAAAAATCACAAGTACCCCCTGAAACTTTTTATTTCATTTGTATGCACATCAACCCAACATCTTAAATAATTTGGTACGCCTATATCTCTTCAACTTGTTTTTTATCGAAATCGTATCCTTGTCCTTTTTTTCCCCTATTTTAATTTAATTATCCATGTGATTTGTTGTCACTAGAATACACAATCGATTAAGCCCCTGTTTGACAATAATTATTTCAATTTTTTAAATTATTTTACTCATCTTCAACTATATATTTACACAATAAAATACGTACGCGTAAAGAAATATTAACTGCATAACCTGCTTAAAGCAGCAAAATAAGAATTTATTAGACACTATTACAGAAAATAATTTTCTATTCTTCATTTGTAGAAAATCAAAATTCTTTATTCCGACCCATTAAAAAGAGATAAAGAAACCATCCCTTGTCCTGTACCTGCCAAATAGAGAAATGCAAATGACAAAAACTATAAAAATAAAAATTGCTTGATAGTTATATGAAAAATGAAAGCAGGAAAAAAATTAATTCTTCCCTGCTAGATTGGTAAATTACCAAGCTCTCGCAAACAATATATCCCAAAATATATGTTAAATTCTGGAATTTCATTAATAATATAAGCAAAATACCACATTAATTCTGTAACCAAATTAATAATTCGACTCCCTATTTCTTATGAACATAGAGAAACTGAAAAACGCATAACTAGCAAGCAAAACAGACTAAAAATCATATTTTTCGGGCCACGCATCATATATTTAAATAACATTATAAAGAAAATGCAATCTAGTATAATTTATCTGAGTTTTGTTGAATTGTACAAGAAAATGGTTGGAAGCCAATTGACGCAAAACAACTTAGGGAGTGTGCTCACAAAATGGTAGATTTCGTTGCTAATTAGTACACTTTGAAGTTGAGATACAGGCAGCAGAGCGCCGACGAATCTGATTTGGTTCATTGGTTGAGTGGACTAGTGTTTTGTAAGTTTGGTTTCCAATTTTCAATTTTAACGTGTAAGATTAGAGTTAGGTTATTGAGTTAATGGTTTACTAATGATATTAATTGGGCCAAAATTTTGGGGAAGCCCAATATCAAAATTGTCCAATTAATTTTGGAAAAAAATAATGGAAAACCCAATTTCCCAATTAATTTTTTTAACGGGTAATCGGTTCCGGCGGGGCACCATTACTAAATACCATACCCATCCCACCCCGAACTGGGTCACTAAAATCAAAACCATAACCACCACATTGCACCATCGGTTCGATTTTTTTCGCCCCATTCGATTAAGTTAACCGCGGTTTTCGATTTTGATAGTTCGAATTGTCATCCCTAGATCAATGAAATAGATAAGTTGTGGTCAGTAAATAATGTGTTTCCTAAAAATTTGTTAATTTGTGACTAATAATTTGTGGTCAATTAATTTGATATTTTGTTGACCACGAAATAAGTTGCGATTTATAAAATTTGTGATTTGTGACCAATGAATAACATGCAACTTATTAATTTGATAAATTTGTGAGCGTAAAATAATTTGAAACCTATAAAATTTTTAATTGTGATCGAAAAATTAGTTGTAATCAATTAATTCGATAATTTGTGACCAAATTATATAAAATTGTAAACTTATATTTAATTTATAAACTATACTTTTGTTTGACAACCTCTCACATGCGTGCAGGCCCCGAATGAATAAAAAATTCCAAAAAAATGTGGGCCATCCTCCTAATGTGAGTGTTCGATCAAAGTGCTTGTCAACCATTTTCAGTAAGTGTAGCATTACTCTAAAAAAATTCTCTCTTTTTCCTTGGGTAAATGGTAAGAAAATGTTGGAAGGGATCAAAGAATCATAAATCATTTTGTTAAAGATTTTACATTTAATTTTAGTCTTTAGGTGCACAACTCAATAATATTTTAACCAAGGGAGACAGGCTGCACATAATGATTCCGGAGTAAAGCTGCACATAAAGATTCTTAAGTTTCCAAAACTCCATACCCAGTTGTATTAATTAATTATGGCAAAACGGATTTACCTTCAGCCAACATTGTAAGAGCAAGTAACGTACTTTCACATGATTCGAACTTACAAAAAGAAATAGAGAACCGAAGTGGATTGTAGACAGATAAGCTTCTTATATAAATATATTGCACCCTAGATGAAAGAAGAATTCAGCATTCATAAACACAATACTGGTTGTTTCTAAAAATATCAATTCCCTCAAAATGGTAAGCTATTAGATGTGGAACTTGATGAAAGGGACTTGAAATGATGAGAAGCAACAAAATCTTGCGGCAAATTTGCCCTCTTCATCATTCTCTTCATGTTGTCGTGCAGACTCTGTTGAACTAGTTGCTCGACTGCTTTCCTCTCTTCACTCAACATATCATCCTCCCCTTCCAATAATTCCTCTGTTAGATGAGTAGGCGAAGGACCACAAAATGGAGCTGACAATCCTGAACCCAACCATCCCGAAACTTCCTTCCCTTTCTCCCCTCTTAAACACTCCAATATCCTTGAAGCTCTTTTTTGTGCCAATGTGCTTCCTAACAATGTTAGTTCAAGCAGGGACGTGGCAATTCCAGCCTTGATCATCTCCTGCCTATCTCCGTAAGACTTGTGAACTATCACCATAAGAATGTATGTTACTTTCTCTTGGCACCCTGGTGAATCCGTCCAATTCAATACATCAATTAGAATTGGAAAGGCATCGGGCACAATCCTAATTGCCTTCCTCCCCTCCGCAACTGATACTACATTGCTAAGAATAGAGAGGATTATTTCACTTGCATCCACATCTCCCAGCTTGCTCAAGAGAAGTGGTATCAGATCAGTCTCCAGCATCAAAACCACATTTGAAGGCAAGATGGAAAGATTGTAGAGTGCGCGCAAAGAGTCCTGTTTAGCTTGAGAACTAATATCCTCAATGAAATGTTTGAGAGTTTCCACCAAAAATGGGATTGCATCCGAAGAACCAATGATCTGTTTATTCGAGTCGAGTGCACTCAACCCAAGAAAATTGGCTACAATTGCTTCAGCAACAGACTGCTTAGGTGACCCATTTGAAGAATTGACGAGCTTGAGTAACTTGTGGACAGCTCCTGCTTTAACAATAGCAGCTTTATTTCTGAAGAACAAATTTGACAAAATCATGATCAATATCTACATTACAGCCTGTCGTGATAAGAATGGAAGACAATTATATCATATCATGGCAGATAGGAAGATAGTGAGAGAGATCAATATGAGGAATGGGCTAGAAAAACAGTTGAAATTGGAAATTAATGCAAACGACACCACCTAAACAATATGAGAATATGTGGAAAATGACATATCATCGGGGTTGAAAATTTTTTCTCGATACATAAAATTCATCCAATGAATAATGTAGGTAAAATAAGCAAAAGGAAAAGGGAAAATAAGTGAAATGTAAAGTAAAGAAAGGGTACCCACGCATCATTGGCAATGGCGAGGTTAAGCAAAGCATAGAGAGCGGCTATCTGTCAGACCCTTCACCCTAGGAGGCGCAGTTCGCGGCTGTGCTCGCCGCCTTACTGTGGTTCTTCTCGATTTCACCAGGACCGGAGCCTTAGAAGGAAACATTCGGAGGATTGCAGGGAGCGGGGAAGGTTGTGTAATATCTCCGAGTTGCTATCTTGCTGCAGCTTCTTCGCAACTGTTTTTAGCTCCTCCAGGGCCTTCTCTTTTTTCCTTACTTTCTCCTCATTCTCCCTGAACTCCTGCTGCTTCAAAAGCTCCGACAACTTGTTGGATACGGACTGCTGCTTCTTTTCGGTTTTGGTCTGTTTAAGCGGGATTCCGCCGCCGCATCGAATGGAGTTAATGATCTTCTGGCGGAATGAGGCACCGGAAAGTGCCGACCAAAGCGTGAAACTCCTGTCTAGGTTTACCGACCCGACAACTTTGCCGCCTTCAAACTTGCCCATTGTTGCCGAACCCAGACATTTATCTTTAGCTACTCACTCAGACATAACAGAAACAAACACAAAATCTGCCTGCCCTTCTGCTGCAACACTTAAAAAAGAAGAACAGTGCGTGTTTGTGCGGGTAATGAGTAATTAGCAGCATTTAAAAAGTCTCAATTTGTCTGCGTATGCGCAATTATATTAGTCCACAGGACGTAGCGTCATATTTATTAATTAATATAGATTGGGCATTGGGGACGGTGAAGTGAGTAAATGAGAACGAACGGGTCAATATGAATTGTACAGTTGGTTCCAGTGCGGGAGGTGAACATTTTCAGTGTAATAAAAGCAAAAGAGAAGAATTAAAACAAGTATATAAAGTTATGTTTTGTTTCGTATTTGAATATTTTGATTAAATACGAATTTTTTGCGATGGGTCTATAGATCATATCGTTTGTACGTCTTTCTTTTTATTGTCGAGTATGCTCGAAATAGTTGTATGAGTCACTTGATTTTGATTTGTCCCAATATATTCGGTGTACTTATACATTAATTTTGATAAATAGAATTTTATATTTACCGATGAGAGAGAGAGAGAGGACTTCAAGATGTGTGCTAGCTAAGAAACTTCAGGGATATACATATTGATCTGATTTTTATGAAAAAAATTAAATTTTTATTATTCGATAATAATTGATGAAGTATATATTAGTTAAAATGTGTGACTATCGTGAAATATATGATTAAAATTAATTATTAATTTTGACTCAATTTTTTTATCAACATTTTTAACTAAATGAAACCATGGCTCAATAATAAAATGGAAAACTCAACATTGCTGTTTTCAACTTCTAACAAAACAATTCTTATGTAGTTACAAATTCGAATGACGTTGAAAAATTTAGGGTGAAATGTGTTTTCCCGAGGGAGGGCTGAAGATAAGTATATAATGAAAATTCAGATGGTTCTGTCGATTATACAACTATAACGAAATGTTTCCTCTTTTGAAATGATACATATTTTCATGAGTGCCATTCGACTATTTAATGATAACTTACATAGTTGATCGTACAAGTACAATGAAAAGGCAAAGTTAATCCCTCGTTTGATAAAAATCGGATTTTTATTAAATTTTGACAAAATATATAGTTGAAAAGTTGATTAAAAAAATGAATTTTAGAGAAAAATCATGATATATGTATATCATTTTTTACATTATTGTTTACATTGTACAACGTGACAACAACCATTTGACATTTAAAAAAAAAAAGAAACTTTTCCCATCCACAATTTCTTAAAAATAAAAGGGATGTCAAAAACAATGTAAAGCAAAGAACGTACCCGTTTGGCCCCCCCATTATTCCCATAATTCATTTTTTTTTCTCTTTTTATCAATCACACATTCTTTAATAATATAATATTACACATAAACTTAACAACTTTTCATTGCTACGTGTACAAAGTGGGTTGACAAACTTGGTTTACAAACTATGTGTTGACAACATCTAACCAATTATTTCAAAAACAGTTTTTGAAAATCAATTCCCTAAATCTTGCCACACTTTTTTGTCCACAAGTTTTATAAACAAATTTTGTACAACTATATTAATTGTTCCATTTTAACCACACATTTTTCAAAAAAATTACTATTCCTCCCTTTATAACGTGGAATAATGGGGGGTCAAACGGGCGCTAAATGCAATGCAAAACAGGGGCTAAATCTTTTTTTAGACTGTGTAGTGTCAGTTTTTATTGGAGAACAATGACGCAGAAATTGCAGGGAAAAGAGATGAAGAAAAGCGATTAAAGTTTGTTGATGAAATTGAAAGTAGATTGATAATAATAGAGGAAGAGTAAAGGAGGGCGACCGAATGGCTGCATCACAATTACAAACATGTACGTTTATTTATTGCTTTTTACATTGGCAACTGAGCACGCACTCACATTCTCATGTTGCATTATTACTGCATTATATGTTTGCCGCTCTTTTCTTTTCTTTTCAAAGCACCGTCCACGTTCATTACCACCCGGGATTACATCTATGGTAAGTGAGTCTTCTTCCTTGAAGTCCCCTCTTAAGATCCTCATTCTCAACCATTTGTTAAATAGCTCGCTTCACAGGTCTCGCAACGAAGTTAGGGTCAAAGCCTAATGTTCCCAGAAGATTGACAGCTTCCTCCGTGTAATGGAAATCAAATTTCCTCTGTTTAAGTCTGTCATTCACACGATTAAGCTGCAGCCGCAATAAAATAATAATGTCATGGGACAACATGACATTTTATTCTTTATAGTTGACATACAAATTAGCATAATAAAAATACAATAGACAGTTAGACACGAATCCAGAATCTTAAGATACTAATGGCCTAAACTTCGAGGATATATCTGAGGAAGTCAAGAAAAAATAAGGTGCTTCATCGAAAATAGAATAAAGCAACACTAGACAAAACAACAGCAAAATATGAACAAGAACAAGAACAACCACTTCTTCAACAATCAACAAAGAAGCAACAAGGGCCCCCCGGGGCACAGCTCAACTGGCGGAACAATCAGCACATAACTCGCTTCCAGCGGCATGATGGGGGTTCGAATCCTGGTGGGAACCTGCGGCTAAATTTATTTGGTATGGAACAATCACTTTGGATGATGATTCCTTATGCGCAAAGTGCACAATTGGTGAGAGGAACATGAGAACTAGTTGATGCATATCCCGCGATTTAACTCATTTAAGGTTCTAGGGGCAAGGGTCTTGGAGGTTCAGGATTTAGTCTGACAAAGTTGGGAGACTTTGGTATGAAAAAAATGTGAATTGCCATTTTAATGGTACTTTTATTAGTCTTGTCAGATGTCAAATTACCTCCAAAAGGCACCTATGTCTCTTGATTGTAGCTTACTTGATTAAAACAAATCACAGTAACTTGATAAAGATAGCTTTTATAGGAACAAATGCTCATGCAATGATATGTGGGAATAAGTTCGAGTTGATGGGAAATTAAGGTTATGTCTCTTGATTGTAGCTTACTTGATTAAAACAAATCACAGTAACTTGATAAAGATAGCTTTTATAGGAACAAATGCTCATGCAAGGATATGTGGGAATAAGTTTGAGTTGATGGGAAATTAAGGTTACATTTGAACCCCATTTGTTAAAATTTATTTTCCTTGAACTCACTATTGTTTTGCACAAAAAAAAAAAAATCTCACTTTTAGAATGTATTGTTATAAAGTGATTTTTTAAGAATGTGCAATTATAAGGTAATAAAAATTATGAATTCACGTACAAACTATTTTGTTGAAGAGATGTTACATGTACACCATTATTTACACTCTTGTTTGCAGAATGTTGAATTGACAATTTTTCATTGGATGTTGCACAAAAGACAAAATGTCACCTGCCAATGAGAAATTGCCAACTCAACATGATGTAAACAAGGGTGTAAATAAAAGTGTACAAGTAGCTTTACACATTTTATTGAGAGAATGTATAATTGAATGTTATATGAATTCATGATAATAATGAAACCATGGTGCAGGACATGCCACCTGTAAGAATTATTACAAATGGAAATAAAATAATCCTTACATAAAAAACGTCACATGTTACAAATACAAAATTGTATTTTTCGACCTAGGGATAGTTATAAACATGGGACTTTTTTGCAAGAGACATCGTTGCCTCCATAATGTAGTATGTCTAATCCTTCTGTGAATAAGTATCCAAAGAGAGGAACTTAGCATGTGGATCGGCATTTTTTCCAGCTTTGTGGTCATAGTACTCAACAACTGCAGCTCCAGCCAGTGCAGCCAGCGTTAGAGCTTGTGCGTGCAACCTGAAATTTTTTCAGAGTTCAGTATCGCAACAAAATTTCCGACCTAAAAAGAAGAACCATGGATGGTTGATATTGTATTCATATAAGCAGGGGAAAAATGAGTCAAGATGCTGATCAAAGATTCGAAGTTCATGTTATGATCCGCGTAAAGATAAGTAATGAAAACAGAAAACGATGAGCATTTTTAAAAAAATTCATTCTTTCAAACTCATTTTCAACCACACATTCTTCAATAAAATAATATTACAGGCAAATTCAAAAAATTTCCTTATTTTTTAACCACATATTTTCCATAACATCACGTCAAAAAATGCATTTTCTTCTCAATAATATACATCAGACACCCCCTGAATAATAGATTATAACCATAAAACCACCAGCCCAATTCTCCTAAAGTGAAAGGTTCCTTTGTACATTATCATCCATGTTTAAATCATATTTTGCATGTATAGCATTTTTAAAAGATTAGAAAACATAGAAATCATTGGAGGCATTATTAATCATACCATGCCATATCGAATGGCAAATGACGTCAACAACAAAAACTACACCTTGTTTCTAATGAAACTCGGGATCCACTATATATAATTCCTATATTTGTCTCTCATTAGACACCCCATCTGCTTAAAGATCCAAAGAAATCAATTCTTTTCAACCATATCAAGCCATGCTGCTTTTGATCTACCACTCCGTCTCGTGAATTGTTCTGTTAGAATCTAATTGTCCCTGTAAAGAGAAGCTTCTTTGAATTGAAAACCGATATACACAAACGGCCAAACCATCTAAATCCTCATTTCTTTTATAAAATGTTCGGGAAGTGTTTACGGGCTTCTGCTTCTTGCAAAGAAGTTCTTCTAAAAGCTATTCTAACCAAACAAAGCAGTCTTAGGGTCCGTTTGATTGCAACGATGGAAATGGGTGGAAAGAAAATGAATTCCAGGAAAAGTAATTATCTGGAAATTGTTTTTCAGGAAAAATAATTGTCTAAAAATTATTTTTCAGGGAATTGTTAATTAAGTGTGTTTGATTGATATAATTTTTTACCCGAAAAATTTTAAAATTTTGTGTTCTTTTGGCTCTGTTTTACATGAAAATTGTCCATTAAATTGATAATTTTTTCCACTAAAAAAAAATTTTTTTTTTCATACAAAATCATTTTTTTTAAACAAAGTTCGGTGTTCGTTTGATTTT